TGCTGCACAGCCAAGCAACTTCTTCCTGTTGCTGATCCTCTGCTAGGCTTGCACCATAAAGTAATGCCTCAGGATCACCCATATGCTGCATGATCTGGCAAAGTAGTTGTGTAGATCACAGAACTGTAGTCCTCTCCTGGGCAATCTGCTCTAGGTGACCCTGCTTGAGCAGGGAGGTTGGACTAGATGATCTCCAGAGGTCCCTTCCAACCTGGTCCATTCTGTGATTCTGTGATTCTGTGAGGGCAATTAAGGCTGCCCTGCTTGGGATACTGTCCCTGTCCCCTCCCAAGAATGAGCAGGTCCTAGCACAGTCAACCTCAAGAGGTGTTGATGGCACTGTTTGGCTATGTCCCCACACTCTGCTTCCAGAGTTTGTCCATACTGCCAAGCATTTGTCCAGGGTGCCAAGTGACAATGGTTTTCTGGCCTGTACTGACTCCTGAACTGTGCTTGTGCAGTGTGGCGACATGCAGGCTGACACAGGCCAGGGCCATGTTGGGGAAGGCATGAACCATTAACTAGTGTAAACAGCTGAGTGGCAATGTTTAACTTACTGTTATAACCTGTGTAAAGACTATATAACCCACATATATATAAATACACACACACACATATATGTTTATAACCCATGCATAACCTGCAGCTCCAGACTCCCTTCTGTGCTGCCATTGCTGCATCCAGGATAGTTGGATAGTTCCTTAAGTCCTGGGGAGCCAGGCCACTCCCAGTGACTACCATTGTGAGGCAGACAGTATGGCACAGCCAGGCCGGTGTTGGTCTGGTGGTAGCTGAGATATGCAAGGCATCCCCAAGGGATAGCATAACCATCACTGCTAAAATAATGAGATATACAGTCTCATATTGTCTCTGCTGCAGGAGACCTATGGTCGGAAGAGATACCGCTCCAGGATCCTGCAGGGCCTTGTCACCTGAAGGACCATTTGCAGAGACTATGGGAAGGTCTCCTAGCTTAGTATAGGACAATGCATATTCCAGAACTTTGGCATCTTCTAAAGGAGACAAACAAGGATCCAGTTCTTCCCCAAGGGACATAGTCCATGTTATTTTAGAATAAACTTTCTCATCATAGGCCTGAGGCAGACCTCCCTGAGCAGTAGAGGCCCACATCAGGGTTTCAGTCAGTCATTGAGCTCATGTAGAACAGTGGCCTGCTGTCATCATTTGAGTACAGAAGAGCAGATGTTCAAAGGCAAGCTTCATATCAGTAGGTTCACATCACTGGAGCTCTTTGCATCCTCTGCAAGCTATAGGAGGAGCTGGAGGAGCTTTTCCATTTGACACTGGCACAGCAAGACAAGACTGCTTTTTCATGATCCAGCAATGATGCCAGCAGTGGCTGAATCCCCCAAAACAAAGAGCACACTGAAAAGTTTCCGGCAGCCATACAGCATAAGCAATAGTATGAGAGTACCCATGACATGACATTCCCCCACTCCCTCAGGAATTTTTTCCTGTCCTCAATCTGGAAGACAGTCACAGCCCGAGGTGTGTGTGATCCCACAAGCCATGAGATCAGACCCATGTAGACCTTTACTACACTATAAGCAAAAGTTTCCTCATGAAGACACTTTATCTAGATATCTCCTAAGTTGCGTCTCCTTTTCCTTTTGATGCTGTCCATCCCGCCTGCACTGAGTGATTTCTGGACCTGTGTCCTGTCTGCTAATCTGGCACAGCACTGTGAGCTGAGGGGACCAGAAGTACAGAGAAGCAAAACAGCACACATATTTAATTCCACAAACATACCTGTTCTACAGTTTAAAAATAACAAAAAAAGACCCAAGTGGGGCAACGGAATAAAAGATAAACCAAGTAAATGAGAGTTGAGTCACAAGCAAAATCCCAGAATGAAGGTCTTGGTTCCTTAGTGGTGGCCTTAATGGGAGAACCAAAGATTGTTCCTCCTCCCCTCCAGCAGCCTGGCCATCATAGTGCTGGAGTCTCTCACTTTGTACTAGCCTCTGCTGAGAGCTGTAGGCTTGTCTTGCCACCATATGATTTGCTGCCTACTAAAGAACGGCATGCCTTCAGAGAAGTTCCTTATGAGCTACTGATTCTGTTCCTAACTCGTGTTTCAGGAAGTCACAGTAGAAGTGAGTACTCAGGTCGTGGTGTTCCCGCAAAAGCTTAGCAACGATGCCTATTCACTGGTTTGCCCAAGCAATGCTGAACTTTGGCCTGGATTCCACTTAGGGAGCTCCTCCACAGTGTCTTTGGGTGGCCTAATGCACGGTCCTAAACCTTGAAGCCAGAGGTAGCCTTGGAGCAGTTGATTAGATTAGTTGATTACTCCTGATTAGAAGTATCTACAGAGGCACTGATAGCAAGCATGCCATTCCTTGCTCAGATGTGGGAATATACAATATACAGAATCAGAATAATTCAGGTTGGAAGGGACCTCTGGAGATCTCTAGTCCACACTAGACCAGGTTACTCAGGGTTTTATTAGGCCTTCCAAGCATGAGGATGCACAACTCTGGGCAATCTGTTCCAATGCTGGACTGTCCTCATGGTGAAAAAGATTTTCCTTAAATCCAGTTGGCATCTCTCTTGTTTCAACTTATGCCTGTTGTCTCTCATCTTCCTACCACTCACAGCTGTGAAGAGCTGGGCTGTTTCCTTGATTACTTCTTCATAGGTCCTGAGGTGGGAACTGCTGTTAGGTTCCCCCAAAGCCTTCTCTTCTCCGGAGTGAGCAAGCCTGGTTCCTTCAGCTTCTCCCTCTACCCTCCTGAGGCAAGTGCTCCAGTCCCCTGACCATTTTGGTGCCCCCCCCCCCGACCTCACTCCAGTTTATCAATGTCTTTCTTGTACTAAGAGGCCCAAAACTAGACACAGTATTCTAGATGTGGTGTAACAAGTGCTGATTTGAGCAGGATAATCAGTTCCCTTGATCTACTGGCTATGCTTCTGTTAATATAGCCCAGGATGCTCTCAGCCTTCTTTGCTGCCAGGGCACACTGCCAGCTCATGTTCAGCTTGCTGTCTACCAAGACCCCCAGGTCTCATCCAGCAGAGCTGCTACTCAGCCAGTCAATCCCCAGTCTGTATCATTGCAATGGATTCTTCCTTCCCAGGTGCAGGATTTTGTATTTGTCCTTTGTTGCATTTCATAAAGTTCCTGCTGTCCCATTCCTCCAGCCTGTCTAAGTCTCTGAATGGTAGCCCTGCCCTGGAGTGTATGTACTGGTCCCCCAAGTTCAGTGTCATCTGCAAACTTGACAGGAATGCAGTCTATCACCTCCTTCAGGTCATTGATGAAGATGTTAAACAGGACAGGTCCCAGGATATACCCCTGCAGTACTCCACTTGCTGTCATACTGTCCACCCATCCAGACCATAATGTCCCAAATTGGATACCACAATATTGTAGTTATGGTTAGAATGGTGGGTACTACTCTTTAAAACTTCCAGTGATGAAAAGAATGGCAAAATATCATAGCCTGGTAGATGAACAACTACTGTTCTTTGGTCTTCTTTGGGCTTTTAATGAGATAATAAAGAGCAAACAAGCTAGGCCCTTTGTTTGATTAGATCGTAGGCCAGTTCAGAAAAGCACATGGTCTAATATTGCACCATTCTTAATGTTGGTAAATATTTGATACAGTGCTTCAGGAAATCATATTTGAAAAACCTGTGATATGGAACTGCCACAGGAAAACACTAGCTAAGGATCATAAATGAAAGATAAATAACACCCCACAGCTTTTGAGTTGAAAGGAGGAGGCTATCATGTCACGGAGATCAATGTCCATATTTACTATGTCATTAATGGTCCGTGGAGTCAAGAGTACACAAATGCATTTCACAGAAGGTACACAAGGGCTGCATGACAGAAGTGCCTCTCACGCTTTTTTTTATTTGCATAGAGGTATATTATGGTGGTCCCAGCAGATACAGTTATTTCAGTGACAGTGTGTAATTAAAAACAGAAGAATTAAATAAAAGTCAAAGCATGTGTGTTCACAGCAGCACACTGAAATAAAATTTCAGCAAAGGATATTCCTATCCTGAAGGTAGGCAAGATAAGGAAAGTTTAATCTGATCAGTCCTCCCAGGACAAACCTAAACAAGTC